TGCAAGTTTTGTGCCCACTGTGCACCACTGCCTAAGGCATGATGTCAAAATGAGCCTGTCAGGGGACGTTATGTAATTGGGTTATGCTGCCAGCTGTGAGCATCCGTTCAATAACATGCGTTTTGTCTTGAGGTCAAAGACGAAGTATTTTTAAAAGACTTAAACTGCTTTTTTTATATTTGGGGCCATAAGGAGACAGGTTTTGAAATGATCAGAAAGTGCCGCAAATTGTCTCTTTAAACAATTGAAATGTAATTGCAGTGTGTCTGCAGCCTTGTCCTTGTGAGTAACTTTTTGAAACAGCAGTAAATATTTTTCTTTAAAATGTGAATGGCCGTGTGGGTCAGTGGTTAGAGCCGAGGACTGTAAGTCAGGAGAAACTGGGGTAAAAGTACTGAGTTGCTGTGTTTCTGTAGTTTAAGCAACTGGCCCTCTGTGCCTCAGTTTCCCCACCTGCAATGTGGGCGGGGGGGTCCTATTTACCCAGTTTGTAAAATACTTTGAGATGTACGGATAAAGGCCCTATATGAGGAGGGCAAAGTAGCATAAATATCAGAGGAACTACAGAACTTGGACCCGCAGGTCCTCACACTTGTAAACAATGGGACACATACTGCTCGCCCTCTGGTGTAGATCTGAAATAGCTCCGCTGACTTGAACTTGCTGGAATTTTCCTGGATTTGCCCTGTTGTAACTTTAGAGAGGATGCCAGCCACCATGTCACAAGGTTCTTTGCCATGAGGGTTGGAGAACCCCTGCTTTCCTGACAGAGAAGGTTATCAATTGTAATACATGACATGGCAACATCTTCACAGCGGGGCTCTCAAAGCATTTTACAGACACTAGTGAATATCGCCTCACACCTCTGAGGGCAGGGTCATGTTCTTGTCCCCCAATAACAGACTGGGAAGCTGGGACACAGAGAGATGAGTGAATTTCCTGAGGCTGGAGGTCCGTGACAGAGCTGGGTATAGAACCCAAATTTCCTGACACCCTCAAAACCCTCCCTGCCCCTCAAATGTCACTTGGACTCTGAGCATTGTATTTAGTCCAGAGCCTGAAGTGACTCCTCTTGGAAAGGGACAGAACTGGTGAGAATTTGGTGTGTGTGGGCGGGTGGTTTTGTTTTCTGCCTGGTGTGTTTCCTAGTTGAGAGGGGCAGGCAGGGCAAAAAACGTACAGAAGCAGCTTCTTCCTTTGGTTAACCCAGTGGTACTTGCTTGATGTAAGCATGTGATGATGGTTCATGCCTGTAAAAAAACCCTTGACAATTAGTCAAGGATTTGTAAGATGCCTTCTTCAGCGACTTTGGTTGTGACCAGCTGCGAACAAACAACAATACTAAACTGTCTGAAAGGCTTCATTTTACGAGTATCTCACTTACTCATGCTTCACCCTGTAAAAGAACGAAGCAAACTTTGGTAGCCATACTGTAAGCAAGGAAAGACTTAAATTGATGCTTTTCTTATAGCTACATTGCTGTATTGGTATGCAGTGTATGGTTATGAAAAACAAATCGTCATCAGTCAATGTGACACTTTTTATCTAGTGATGTCCGAATGAATTTGGCGTTTATTTGGAGCCCCGCTGTTTGGCTTTGCATTTTCTGATCTGTGCTGTGTTGCTTCCAGAGTGTGCAAAGGGAAAAAAAAAGTCTGTAGGAGGGGAAATGATTAAACAAGCTTCAGCTGTTTTTTCCCCCTTTGAATAGCCCTCTTTCATCAGGATATGTTAGGACAAGTGCTTTTTCAAGCCAGGATATCAGTGGAAGACAGTGTTCTCTAAAAGTCATCCAGTTCCTGGGTAGCATCAACGGACAAGAGATTTCTCTGCTCCTCACAGAATATGCGGTCTATCTTTCTTTTCTTTTTTTTTTCTAAGGGTTTAGAAGCAAAAGGATGTGAGTTTAACAGTTGGTTATGAATCTTTTTGGTTTTATTGACTTCTGCCTATCTCTTGGGCCAGCACAGTGCTTCTGCTGTTCAAAGAAATCCAGTCCAAATTAGTATGTACATGCCACTTGTTTTTATTCTGCTACCAAATGTCGCTCACTTGAGCATTGCCAGGGCTGCTCAGGCTCAGCAGGTTAGGGTTTGTTGTGTAGTGGGGGGTGGGATATTGGTTTTTGGTTTTTTTTAAAGACATATTTTACTGAAACACCTGAAAAATCCTCTGTCTCTTGCAGAGATAATGGTAACTGAGATCTGGAAATGAGTTCTGTTGCTTTTATCAAAATAACATGATTTAGAAATGTGCTCCTTTTTAAGAACCAATGTAGAAATGAGTTGGAATATTCTTTTTTTTCCCATTTGTTAGCTGTATTCCGGAACAGTTGCTTGAAATGTTAGAAAGTACAGAAAAATCTCTTTTGCAGGAAGCCCATGTTCTTAGAGTGTATCTTTGGGATAGTGTTGGGCAGCATTCGCATTATAATAAAATTTCTAAAATAAGAGCTTTCACAAAGGGGAGCTTTGACATGTTGATGTATTGGATCGCTGGATATTTGAAATCCACTATCAAAAAGGGTTATGTGGGGACATGAGAGCAGTTAGTGGTAGGGAAATATGAACTGTGTGCTTTTCAGAGAGCTGTCTTTTGTGAGGCTGGGGCCATGTCTGAGAAATGTGCATGAATTTTTTTTTTTAACTTCTTGTGTTCAGTGAGTTGTTTGACTTCTCCACCTTCATTTTCATGTAGATGAATACATGGCCACAAAAATCATCTCAGGCGGGTTGCCCTTTTACTATGATTTCACACTGGTCCCGAAATGTGGGATGATCTCATAAACATTAGATAATGCAACATTCTCATTTCCCTGCAACTGGAAATTCTCCTCTTTATTGTAAGAGATGTATTGACTGCCATCACTACAGCAGAGGGAAATATCAGACAAAGATGACCCACCCGAGCTATGGTTACGAGTGTGGGGACAGAATCCTGTCTTCATCAGTTTATCTTTGTCTCAAATAGAGATTTCACAGTCATTGTTTTATCAGGGGTAAATATATTGTACTGTGTACATTTCCCATTTTCCAAAGGGAAATGTAAAGGAATTTGATTTGGAGACTGTTTCCCAAGTTTCTCGAGACAGGGTTGCCGCTAAGTATTTAGCTGTGGGTTATTTTAACTGTTCTTTCCTCTTATGTACAACTGGAGGAGGATGAGTTACAGTCAGAAGCATGACTATAAAGGTGGTACGTTCCTTAGCAGATCTGCTCCCAGAACGTATTCAGAGTCAGAGCTGTTCATGTTAGTGATGCTATTCTTATATAACTCTCTACCCTTTTGACTACTTTACTCTCCCATTAGTGCAGCAGAACCAACGCAGTTATGGGAGAGAGAGCTGGATTCTTCTGTGGTGCACACATGATGAATGGAATTAACTAAATTCCAGTTGCAGAGCCTCTTCCTGGTGGTGTACAAGTCAAAAAGATCACAGCTTGAGTTTCAGATCCTAGGCACAATTTACATGTCTCCCAGTTAGAAAAAACTGTCTCCCAGTTAGAAAAAACTTTGTTTTACTAGTAAACTGAACGAGTGTGATATAGAGTCACTGTAAGAGAGTAAATGTAGAAATGCTGTTTTCAGTCACTTCTCAGAGTATGACCATGCCGTAAGGCTCTCACTTACTGTTCTAAGAAACATAACCTTGGAAACCTTGAGTGACAGAATTTTCACTAACTTTCAAACCAATCAAAAATTAAGATTTAAACCTGATTGAACTAGCCTGGGCAGCCCCAATGCACCTGGAAAGAAGGGATGGAGACACCACTGTATTCCCAGAGAGGGGAGAAGCGGAATGCCGTAATTCCATGTCTTTCACTTGGAAGTCCTTGCTTAGAATTGAGCAACAGAGTGTGAGCTCCTCCCCGGGACAAAGACCCAAAATAAGGCCAAGGAAAAAGATAGGGCAGATAGTTCAGGGAGCTTTGACCTGCGTGGGGTTGATTTCTGTAGCATAAATAATTTCCTCCAGTCACAGTCTCACAATGCAGTGTTTTAGCTTCGTAGATAATTGACAATAATAAAGAAAGATGAGAACCCCAGGTTCTGTGGTATGCGATGGAGGCAAATTTGGGTCTAAAATGAGGGACCTGCCTTGTAAAGATCATTACTTGATGTCTCGATCCTTAGAAGAAATGCAATGTAAGCAGTAACATCGGTAACCAAAAACTAGCTTTGTAGATGCTGATTTTCAGTGTTGTGGGAAATGCTAACTTTAGAAATGGACACTGACACAAATGGCAAATGCTCACCAGTACATCATGATAACATGTAATTAGACTTGAGCTGACCCTTACTGTAACTACTGATTTTGTTAGTTATGTTCTCAGATCCATGTTCCTCTCAGTCTTGGGGAAATAGCCTCGCACCTTTGCACATATCGGAGCCTGGCCTGCTGTCAGTGGAAGCTTTACGTGCATGAGGACTGTAGGATCAGGCTCCCAGGAAGCAAAAAGTCATTCTTTACTCGTTGCACAGATTGTGAGGGTTCCAAGCAGTTTTGTTTGACTTGTACGGTTTTCATGTAAAAAGGATTTTTTTTTTGCCTTCTTGTAACTTAAAAAAATGATGTATAATTTCAGTTTCTTGATTTTTTTTTTCCATTCCTAAGAAATGTGTGCCATGGAAACAATGACTGGTTCAGCACTTTACATAGTACCACTTTACATTAGTACCACACCATCTTAGTGGCAGAGTTCTTGCAATTGCTGTTTTTAATTTGTAGAGTTTCATAATCAAATGATGTTGTATAATTACTTGGAAATTTACTTCCAGCTCTGTAAGAGCGCATGCAAATAACTCCTTTAGTGACCAAGCATTGTAATCCTGTTGAAAAATGACATACCCTCCAGATGTAACTCCCAAGTTTTGTAATGTTGGACGTTATACCCCGTAATGTCTGAAGCTTGGGACTTTCCATCTAAATGTATCCTGACCTTGAGAGTGTTTTGCTGATCTTTTTCTTAGGTTGATTTCCTGTGTCTTTTGTTTTCCAGCTTAAGTGAGAGCTTTTTCATGGTGAAAGGAGCAGCGCTTTTCTTACAACAGGGAAACAGTCCACAAGGCCAGCGGAGTCTGCAGCATCCTCACAAGAATGCAGGTTATTGATTAAATCCCTTATTGAAATACTTTCTTGCATTTGCTTATGTTGTGCACAGTGACAGCCGAATAGCGCGAGCACGAAAGTGGGGGTCTCCCCCTCGGCATTAGAGTGTGGGCCATTGTGTAAACCACTGAGTACAACTAGATTTCCACCCCACTTACGATGAAAGAAGTTGAATTGGAACATATGAATGCCGTGTCCCTGTTTAAATTTCTGTAATTCTCTTGTAATTGTCACTCACTGAAGTAAAAAGTGGTCCTCTATGAACATCATGAAAAGAAAAGGAGTACTTGTGGCACCTAAATTAAAATAAATAAATTAAATAAACCTTGTGGAGAAATTGGAGAGAGTCCAGCGAAGGGCAACAAAAATGATTAGGGGACTGGAACACATGAGTTATGAGGAGAGGCTGAGGGAGCTGGGATTGTTTAGCCTGCAGAAGAGAAGAATGAGGGGGGATTTGATAGCTGCTTTCAACTACCTGAAAGGGGGTTCCAAAGAGGATGGCTCTAGACTGTTCTCAATGGTAGCAGATGACAGAACGAGGAGTAATGGTCTCAAGTTGCAGTGGGGGAGGTTTAGATTGGATATTAGGAAAAACTTTTTCACTAAGAGGGTGATGAAACACTGGAATGCGTTACCTAGGGAGGTGGTAGAATCTCCTTCCTTAGAGGTTTTTAAGGTCAGGCTTGACAAAGCCCTGGCTGGGATGATTTAACTGGGAATTGGTCCTGCTTTGAGCAGGGGGTTGGACTAGATGACCTTCTGGGGTCCCTTCCAACCCTGATATTCTATGATTCTATGATTCACCTTAGAGACTAACCAATTTATTTGAGCATAAGCTTTCGTGAGCTACAGCTCACTTTATCGGATGCATTCAGTGGAAAATACAGTGAGGAGATTTATATACACACAGAACATGAAAAAAATGGGTGTTTATCATGCACACTGTAAGGAAAGTGATCACTTAAGATGAGCTATTACCAGCAGGAGAGTGGGGGGGGCGAAGAAAACCCTTTGTAGTGATAATCAAGGTGGGCCATTTTCAGCAGTTAAAAAGAATGTCTAAGGAACAGTGGGGGTGGGTGGGGGGGGAATAAACAAGGGGAAATAGTTTTACTTTGTGTAATGACTCAAGCACTCCCAGTCTCTATTCAAGCCTAAGTTAATTGTATCTAATTTGCAAATTAATTCCAATTCAGCAGTCTCTCATTGGAGTCAGTTTCTGAAGTCTTTTTGTTGAAGAATTGCCACTTTTAGGTCAGAAATCGAGTGACCAGAGAGATTGAAGTGTTCTCCGACTGGTTTATGAATGTTATAATTCTTGACATCTGATTTGTGTCCATTTATTCTTTTACGTAGAGACTGTCCAGTTTGACCAATGTACATGGCAGAGGGGCATTGCTGGCACATGATGGCATATATCACATTGGTAGATGTGCAGGTGAACGAGCCTCTGATAGTGTGGCTGATGTGATTAGGCCCTATGATGGTGTTCCCGGAATAGATATGTGGGCACAGTTGGCAACGGGCTTTGTTCCAAGGATAGGTTCCTGGGTTAGTGGTTGTGGTGTGTGGTTGCTGGTGAGTATTTGCTTCAGGTTGCGGGGCTGTCTGTAGGCAAGGACTGGTCTGTCTCCCAAGATTTGTGAGAGCGATGGGTCGTCCTTCAGGATAGGTTGTAGATCCTTGATGATGCGTTGGAGGGGTTTTAGTTGGGGGCTGAAGGTGACGGCTAGTGGCGTTCTGTTATTTTCTTTGTTGGGCCTGTCCTGTAGTAGGTGACTTCTGGGTACTCTTCTGGCTCTGTCAATCTCTTTCTTCACTTCAGCAGGTGGGTATTGTAGTTGTAAGAATGCTTGATAGAGATCTTGTAGGTTTTTGTCTCTGTCTGAGGGGTTGGAGCAAATGTGGTTGTATCGTAGAGCTTGGCTGTAGAAAATGGATTGTGTGGTGTGGTCTGGGTGAAAGCTGGAGGCATGTAGGTAGGAATAGCGGTCAGTAGGTTTCCTGTATAGAGTGGTGTTTATGTGACCATCGCTTATCACGTTCTTTGTGTATATAAATCTCCTCATTGTATTTTCCACTGAAAGCATCCGATGAAGTGAGCTGTAGCTCACGAAAGCTTATGCTCAGATAAATTGGTTAGTCTCTAAGGTGCCACAAGTACTCCTTTTCTTTTTGCGAATACAGACTAACACGGCTGCAACTCTGAAACCTATGAACAGCATAATATTCAGCACCGTGTCCTTTAGTCTAGGGCCTTTGAGGAAAATCTGCTGAGCCATATGATGCTCTTTTGAATGCCATTCATGTTTTCTGCCTTCTTGTGAGAAGAAATGTCTATTTTTTCCACTTTACTAATTTGACTAAACCTGCTTTGCGTTCCCCTCTCTTTGTATAGCAAAAAGATTAACCCATTGCACTGGGCTGTTCCCTTTTCTTGATCAGTGGTTTTATCATCTGTTCTGTGGGCACTGAAGCCTTGGTTCAGTAAGGTCTTGTCAGCTGACCAGTACGAGGGCGCTGTAGCCTAGTGGCCAGAGCGGGAGACAGGCATAGTGGCTGGAGTCAGAGCCGTAGTCAGTCACCAGAGTCAGAATCAAAACTGGAGATCAGGAACTGGATACCGGAGATCAGGAACTGGATACCAGAGCCAGGTGGTCGAGTCAGAGTCCATAGTCAGGAGCCAGAGCCAGGGGTTAGAACCAGAGATCAGGAACTCGAGAGAGCAGGGAGGGGCTCAAGGCAGGGACAGGACAGAGACAAGGCTGGATGCAAGGCAGGAGCAGCAGGAACAAGCTAGGCTAGGAGCAGGCACAGCGGCAGGCATGAGCGTTGAGAAGCCAGGGAGCTGCTGCTGTGGCTGGCTTAAGAACCAGGCTATCAGGCAGCTGCTGCAGGCCAGCTGTATTGATGAGGGTGCCTGGAGACTAGCTCTGTTGCAGGCCCTGATTCCTGACAGGTCCGTAAGCACGGGCCTAATTTTAAGTGCATGAGTAATCCTTTTGAAATCGAATATAGTGCTTAAAATTAGACACAAGCCTTGCTGAATCAGGGCCTGAGATGGAAATCATGTTGATTCTATTACTAAATTTTTGTATACCAGGTAAGATATTTTATCCCATCCAAACATCCTAACCCAAATAAATACGTAGTTATTATGTTTAAAGAAGTAATTTTTAGTTAAATCAATTAATTTTGTTGTTCCTACCTTGAAAAAATAGCTCATCAGTAATGGTTTGTATATTTTTATGCTATGTTATAACCTTGACTTTTAATAAGAACTATAACCGGAGTGCTAGAGGGAATGCATGATAGATGTATAATAAAAAGCAACAACAACAAAACAACCCCACTCCCTTCTGCCGATTTGTCCACTCTAGTGTTTGTCACTGGGCTGTTGAAAATAGACAGTTTTAACAAATACCCTTTGAAATAAAAATAATTGACTCTGTTGTAGATGGAAAATGGAAAAAAAGCTAATTGCAGAATTATGTCATGCAAGTGAAAACGGATCATGGGCAAGGATTACCAGAACTGCATTTTAGTCTCTCTTTACTGTCTTTGATGTGTAACCAATCTGAGCCAGGCGCAGGGACCAACTCACATAAGGGTTTGAGTAGGCAGAATGAAGGCTTTTCCACAGCGCATACAGTCTCCAAATGAACCATGGGGGTAACACAGTACTGAATGGAATTGTGGAGCTTCATTTGCAGATCCGCTTGCTGCCTTTGGCATTGCGTCCTTAGGATTCAACCTAAAAGGATCATAGCATTTACCAGCGGCTCAGACTAACCAATCCAGTGGCCAATGCCTGATGTTTCAGGGGATGGCAGCCCCTTTACCCTGTTAATTCAGCTGGCCAGTTTTGGAGGGCGGGAGAAGAATGGCTTCTGGCCCCATTTACATCATATTTATTCAATGGAGACTAAGAAGATGCAAGGTTACTGCTTAGTGAGGTTCATACCACAAAAGACAGGTGACTAGCCCGCTTCAAGCTGCTTTAGTGTGAAGCAGTCTGTAGTGCTTTCGGCTAAGGAATAATTGTTGAAATCGAGAAATAGACCAGGAATAGTTACCAGAAATCCCCACACCTCAGGGTTCTTTTGAAGCCTTCACTTAATATTTTGGTTATTGTAGCCTTACATAAACCCCATTTTCCTGTGATGTCCAGCTTAATCAAGACAGACACAAGAACAGTCTAAAGAACACAGTTCAGGCCCCACTCTTGCAAAGATCTCCAAGTGAGTGCAGAGGTGAGGAGCTCCTTGTGGGATCGGGGCCTAGGATGTACATGACCCAAAGCCCTTGCCTCTTAGCTCCATATATTTCATTTCTTGGCTTTAGGCAGGAAATTCTAATTTAGATGCTACATCTAGACATTGTTCTTAAAATGTTATACATGTTTATGAGTTTATATAGATTCTGGTTGTTTCCAGTGTGCTAAAAGGGAGAGAAGAGACAGTAGAGAATTTAAATTAAAAGTATATTAAGACTGATAAGAATACACAGGGTTAAAGAGAATGAGCCCCACTCGCCCTGTATTTTTATGCCTTCTGTCTTTGACAGCTTTGGAATAAGTGGTTAGCTTAAAAAAAAATCGCCATCAGGGCGCGTTGCGTGAAGGAGCATGTGGGAAAGGCACAGTGTGGTACTGTATGTCTGCTGCTTAGTAAACACTCCAGAATAACAAAGAGCATGTTTGAATGCCAACCCTGGCTTTTGGTTTCTCAGACCGTCAGCAATTCATATGCCCTGCAAGTATCCTATGGGAGGAACTGTATCTTGTATAGAAAGTTATGCTTGCGTTATCACATTATTAGACAGAGTCTCATTGTATTTTCACATGTATGACTTAATCATATAACCCAGTGGTTCTCAAACTTTTGTAGCGGTGACCCCTTTCATACAGCAAGCCTCTGAGTGTGACCCCCTAATAAATTAAAAAATCCTTTTTTATATATTTAACACCATTATAAATGCTGGAGGCAAAGTGGGGTGGAGGCTGACAGCTCGCAACCCCCCAGGTAATAACCTGGTGACCCCCTCGGGGTCCCGACCCCCTGTTTGAGAACCCCTGCTATAACCCATTTGTACCAAACAGGAATGTGTCTGCTTCTGTAGATTCCAAGTATGCTGTTGCATGAATGACAGGTTTCAGAGTAGCAGCCGTGTTAGTCTGTATTCACAAAAGAAAAGGAGGACTTGTGGCACCTTAGAGACTAACCAATTTATTTGAGCATGAGCTTTCGTGAGCTACAGCTCACTTCATCGGATGCATTCAGTGGAAAATACAGTGAGGAGATTTATATACAGAGAGAACATGAAACAATGGGTGTTACCATACACACTATAACAAGAGTGATCACTTAAGGTGAGCTATTACCAGCAGGAGAGGGGAGGGGGGGAGACACCTTTTGTAATGATGGTCAAGGTGGGCCATTTCCAGCAGTTGACAAGAACATCTGAGGAACAGTGTGGGGTGGAGGAGGGGGAAATAAACATGGGGAAATAGTTTTACTTTGTGTAATGACCCATCCACTCCCAGTCTCTATTCAAGCCTAAGTTAATTGTATCCAGTTTGCAAATTAATTCCAATTCAGCAGTCTCTCGTTGGAGTCTGTTTCTGAAGTTTTTTGTTGAAGAATTGCCATTTTTAGGTCTATAATGGAGTGACCAGAGAAATTGAAGTGTTCTCCAACTGGTTTTTGAATGTTATAATTCTTGACGTCTGATTTGTGTCCATTTACTCTTTTACGTAGAGACTGTCCAGTTTGACCAGTGTACATGGCAGAGGGGCATTGCTGGCACATGATGGCATATATCACATTGGTAGATGTGCAGGTGAACGAGATGGACTTTACAAAAACTAGACAAGCCATTTACAACACATACTTTGCTTCTCTACAAAAGAAAAAGGACACTAAACTGTCTAAACTACTACATGCCACAAGGGGCCACAACAGTGGTTCCCTTAACCTGCCCAGCAATATTGTTAATCTATCCAACTATACTCTTAGCCCAGCAGAAGAATCTGTCCTATCTCGGGGCCTCTCCTTCTGCCCCTCCACCGCCACGAACATGATACAGTTCTGTGGTGATCTAGAATCCCATTTTCGACATCTCCGACTCAAGGAATATTTCCAACACACCTCTGAACAACATACTAACCCACAGAGAGCTTCCTACCAAGACTACAAAAAGAAGGATTCTGGGTGGACTCCTCCTGAAGGTCGAAACAACAGACTGGACTTCTACATAGAGTGCTTCCACCGACGTGCACGGGCTGAAATTGTGGAAAAGCAGCATCACTTGCCCCATAACCTCAGCCGTGCAGAACACAATGCCATCCACAGCCTCAGAAACAACTCTGACATCATAATCAAAAAGGCTGACAAAGGAGGTGCTGTTGTCATCATGAATAGGTTGGAATATGAACAAGGGGCTGCTAGGCAGCTCTCCAACACCACTTTCTACAAGCCATTACGCTCTGATCCCACTGAGGGTTACCAAAAGAAACTACACCATTTGCTCAAGAGACTCCCTGAAAAAGCATAAGAACAAATCCGCACAGACACACCCCTGGAACCCTGACCTGGGGTATTCTATCTGCTACCCAAGATCCGTAAACCTGGAAATCCTGGATGCCCCATCATCTCAGGCATTGGCACCCTGACAGCAGGATTGTCTGGCTATGTAGACTCCCTCCTCAGGCCCTACAATACCAGCTCTCCCAGCTATCTTTGAGACACCACTGACTTCCTGAGGAAACTACAATCCATCAGTGATCTTCCTGAAAACACCATCCTGGCCACTATGGATGTAGAAGCCCTCTACACCAACATTCCACACAAAGATGGACTACGAGCCGTCAGGAACAGTATTCCCGATAACGTCACGGCAAACCTGGTGGCTGTACTTTGTGACTTTGTTCTCACTCATAACTATTTCACATTTGGGGACAATGTATACCTTCAAATCAGCAGCACTGCTATGGGTACCCCCATGGCCCCACAGTATGCCAACATTTTTATGGCTGACTTAGAACAACGCTTCCTCAGCTCTTGTCCCATAATGCCCCTACTCTACTTGCGCTACATTGATGACATCTGCATCATCTGGACCCATGGAAGCGAAGCCATTGGGGAATTCCACCACGATTTCAACAATTTCCATCCCACCATCAACCTCAGGCTGGACCAGTCCACACAAGAGATCCACTTCCTGGACACTACTGTGCTAATAAGCAATGGTCACATAAACACCACCCTATTACCAGAAACCTACTGACCTCCAGCTTTCACCCAGACCACACCACACAATCCATTGTCTACAGCCAAGCTCTACGATACAACCGCATTTGCTCCAACCCCTCAGACAGAGACAAACGCCTACAAGATCTCTATCAAGCATTCTTACAACTACAATACCCACCTGCTGAAGTGAAGAAAGAGAATGACAGAGCCAGAAGAGTACACAGAAGTCACCTACTACAGGACAGGCCCAACAAAGAAAATAACAGAACGCCACTAGCCGTCACCTTCAGCCCCCAACTAAAACCTCTCCAACGCATCATCAAGGATCTACAACCTATCCTGAAGGACGACCCATCACTCTCACAGATCTTGGGAGACAGACCAGTCCTTGCCTACAGACAGCCCCGCAACCTGAAGCAAATACTCACCAGCAACCACACAACAGAACCACTAACCCAGGAACCTATCCTTGGAACAAAGCCCATTGCCAACTGTGTCCACATATCTATTCGGGTGACACCATCATAGGGCCTAATCACATCAGCCACACTATCAGAGGCTCGTTCACCTGCACATCTACCAATGTGATATATGCCATCATGTGCCAGCAATGCCCCTCTGCCATGTACATTGGTCAAACTGGACAGTCTCTACGTAAAAGAATAAATGGACACAAATCAGATGTCAAGAATTATAACATTCAAAAACCAGTCGGAGAACACTTCAATCTCTCTGGTCACTCGATTTCTGACCTAAAAGTGGCAATTCTTCAACAAAAAAACTTCAAAAACAGACTCCAACGAGAGACTGCTGAATTGGAATTAATTTGCAAACTGGATACAATTAACTTAGGCTTGAATAGAGACTGGGAGTGGATGGGTCATTACACAAAGTAAAACTATTTCCCCATGTTTATTTCCCCCTCCTCCACCCCACACTGTTCCTCAGATGTTCTTGTCAACTGCTGGAAATGGCCCACCTTGACCATCACTACAAAAGGTGTGTCCCCCCCTCCTTCCCCTCCGCTCTCCTGCTGGTAATAGCTCACCTTAAGTGATCACTCTTGTTATAGTGTGTATGGTAACACCCATTGTTTCATGTTCTCTATGTATATAAATCTCTGCACTGTATTTTTCACTGAATGCATCCGATGAAGCGAGCTGCAGCTCATGAAAGCTTATGCTCAAATAAATTTGTTAGTCTCTAAGGTGCCACAAGTCCTCCTTTTCTTATTGCATGAATGGTACTAACTGCATTAGGGTAAAATGTTACTGTGACCTCAGCTGGGTCAAGTCCTGCAGCCTTCACACATGCAAAACTCCTATTGTGTTCAAAAGGAAAATGGCCTGAGTTAGGCCCACAGACTCAGGCCCATTGTCTTGTATGAAATTCACAAATTTATTTATTTTTTATAGCCTTAATCTTTCAGGAATCTCTTGTTTCCCCATTATCCCCTCCCTCCCAATCCCTTGCCCACAAATCTTACTGTTCAGTGCAGGATGTGGTAGCTATGAGACAAATCTTGTTGGTTATAATTTGAACCAGTAGCAGAGGCATTCCTTATGTATCTAATGCCTGCCAAATGCCAAAATGTCCAGGTCCCATGACAGACTAATTAGCCTGGTATCCAGGGAAACTCAATTCTGTCGTTATCATCTTAAGAATGCTCTGAGAGTCTGAGGCTTGAATGGCTTCCCAAATTTTCTCTAGTTACAGGAATTTAAGTTTCTCTATACATCAGGAGGACATGCAGAGCTTAGTGCACTAAGTAGGGACCATGGCAACATCTGTTGATTATTTCCCAATCATCTCTGTAGGTGACTTGCCCCAGCACCTTCAAGTGATGATCAACCTTCTGCGCTGTGAGGACAGAATCAAATTGGTAAGAGGGTCTGCCGTTTCTGCCCTTCTTTCAGCCGGAGGAGTCTGAAATAGCTCTGTAAAATAGCACCATGATCACTGGTATTTCTAACAGGGCCACGCTTCCCTTTTAAAGAAGGTAAAGAATCTTTTATTAAAACCCTGCCTGTCTGAGTAATGCAGACAGCCACACATGTAGAGGATATGAAATATCACATCAGAAGGGAAAGGCCTCGTGAATTACCCGAGGTAGGGTCACTGTGACACTGCAGTGTAAAAATCATAAAAGGTAACGATGGAAGAGCCCTCTTAGTACCTTCCTATACCCCAGTCCAATGCAAGATTGGTACTTTTATCAACTTTCCTACTTAACCTACATTTTTAAAAAATCCCAGTTTATTTTCCCCTCAGACTTCATCTTTTAACAAGTTTCAGAATGGACACTGGTAATCTAGGCAAAGAAACTGCACTTCCACTGTGCCCCTTCCCTCCCCTCCCCTCCTATAGGCTTTTGGTTAAACTAGTGGCTAAATGTGTGCAGAGAGCGGATGGACTGTGTCTTCCTATGTGTTTCTGCAGCAGCTAACGCCACAGAGCCCTATGCTGACTGGGGCCTTTGGGCCCGACTGCAACACAAATAATGAACTCTAACATTAATGGCAATAATGGTCATTGACAGCAGGTTTGCAGAGCTGTGTTGCCCTGTTTTAGGCTGTACGCTTGGAAAGCATGTGGACAGACCGAGTCAGATACATGGTGGTCGTGTATAGCAGTGGGCGGCAAGACACAGAAGAAAACATTTTACTGGGAGTGGACTTTTCCAGCAAAGAAAGGTACGTCTGGGAGACTTCTTGTGTGCCACGGTGTTGCTTGAACAGGACATTCTCTCTGTTGTACTATAAAGTCACCTGATTCCCATAAAGATGAAGGACCTGATGTTGTAAAGGCCTTCAACTCTTCGGCTGCATTGCAGCCCTGCAAACAGCTCAGGGCAAAGTACTGTGTGCACAGTCCTTTCATAGCACTGTGGCATCTGACTGATCTGCAGCCAGTTAAGGTAGCTAGATGTCTAATGGCCCCAAAATGTGTCTGCAGCTACTTAGAGCTGCAAAACTGAAGGCCACTCTTTCAAATCAGGCCCAAAATGTTGTTAATGTCCTGGAGTTGGACAGTGATGGATCTGCTTTAATTTCTAAATAGCATAAAGCTCCTGCAAAGAATAAACAGACCCAAACTGCTGAGAGATTAGGGATTTATGTCTAGCTTTTCCCAAATTTGAGTTCTGTGTTCTGTCTGGGATACAGACCCATCTCCTGATAAGAGTGTTTACTATTTCCAAAGCCCCATAAAATATTAAGTAACCCTCAGAATCCTTGTGTTCTCCTCATTTTATAGATGAAGAAACAGAGGCAGAGAAGTCATTACTTGCCCAAGGACACAGGCGGAATGTGTGGTAGAGAGTCAGGACTTCTAAGCTCCTAGTTCTGTATTCAGACCACTAGCCCTCTGTCATATTACACTTGACTATACTCAAGGAATAGCCAAAATGTAGGGTTTTTTTAAACATTTTCCCTTGTCTTCTAATAAATCAGAGTGGATTTTTCTGTACTATAAGTGAAGAGGGTAGATATGTGTTAGGAGGGAGTATATATACTAATATAATATACAGTAAGAAAATGTTTTCATTGACAGTAAACCCACTGGCTGTTCCTGGCTATGAAGTTCGTTCTTACTTGCTTTGGTGCTATACTTCCCACTGTTGTTAAGTGCTGTCAGAGGGGTAGAGGAGCTCCTAACCCAGCACTACAGAATGAAACATTAGTCTGCATTATAGAAAGTCTAGGAATGTTTGCTACATCTTGTCCAAAACTAAGATGGACTGATTTTGAAATAATTTCTACTGGTGGTTACTAGTGCAAAATGAGGGGGTAACCTGGGAAATAGCCCTGGCAGATATCCCAGAGCAGCCCAGAACTCTGGGTAGGGCATTCTCTTCATTTACAATGATCCCTGCGAGACTAAGGAAGCTGACAGAGCTGCACATGTAGAAAAGATCGTCAAAGAAAGAAGGCTCAGGAGGCAGGGACATGTATATCGTATGAGAGATGGGAGCCATGCTCCGCAAGCATTGCATTGGGTGCCCAAGAGAGGGAAGAGAAAGCGAGGAAGGCCAAAGGAGAACTGGCAGAAGACAGTGACAAGATGGTATTGAATCTGTTGGCATCACGTGGGAAGAAGTACCACAGCTAATGAGTGACCATCCTCAGTGGAGGAACTGGTGTGCCCCATGTGTCAAAGGCACAGGAGGGACTAAGGACCTTATGTCTTTGTAGATTAGATTAAAGAAAACCTTTCAGTACAAACCAGTGTCCATCAGTAATGGCAGTTTTACCCAAGCAGCCCTGGATCCTGTGTTGAGGCTGGAATGAGAGTCCTTGGCTATCGCCATTCTGAGTTACTAGCGTGGGGCTTTTGTACTGATACACACGTTTTCTTGGAAGGCTCTGAAGTGCGCACTGCCCACATGTGCACTGAAATTAGCCGGTTGGCTAATTTGGTCTGTTGTATCAATGGTTATGATTTTAAAAAAATAATCATTCTGAATTCTTTACAGACTGGCTGATGCATACATGCTCATTTCCTTTAAAAGTTTAATATCTTGGCAGCTTAATTATTTACTAGTTGAAAGCGTCTGGTCCGCATCATGGTCTAGTTTTCTTGACAGATTTCTTCTCTCGTACAGAAGTACTTTTTTGGATTAGATAAACTCATAAAACCCCCTTAACCCCTTACTCCAGTCAAAGTGATTCAATGAAAACCCCACAAACAGCCCATTAAGGGTCCAGACAACTGGACACACAGGTGCCTGACGGGCTGGAGTGCCTGCTATGTGCCACTCATTGAGGGACTTGTCCTTCTTTTGGGCTTTTAGTGGGGAAGATGAAGTAAAGGTCAAAGGTGGCCTATGATAGGATATGTGGCTTCTGGCGAGAGGGGGAAAGAGATGGAAATTGTAACTGTTACTTCTAAAAAGTTGCTACTCCGTCACTGAAAACCAGCACACCGGTGCCAGAGCAGCCCTGAAGATTTTCATGCATGGCTGTACAGTGTGTGTGTGTGTAGACACTGTATGTATAAGCTTAGATGTTGCAGTGAGGGCTGCTAGAGAGGAAGGTGAGGTTTTTAAATAAAGATACATAGTTGTCAGGGTTCCTTCACCACTCTGAACTCTAGGGTGCAGATGTGGGGACCCGCATGAAAGACCCCCTAAGCTTATTCTTACCAGCTTAGGTTAAAAACTTCCCCAAGGTACAAACTTTGCCTTGTCCTTGAACCCCATGCTGCCACCACCAAGTGTCTTACACAAAGACCAGGGAAAGAGCCCACTTGGAGACGTCTTCCCCCAAAATATCCCCCCAAGCCCTACACCCCCTTTCCTCGGGAAGGCTTGATAAGAATCCTCACCAATTTATACAGGTGAACACAGACCCAACCATTGGATCTTAAGAACAATGAAAAATCAATCAGGTTCTTAAAAGAAGAATTTTAATTAAAGAAAAGGTAAAAGAATCACCTCTGTAAAATCAGGATGGAAAATACTTTACAGGGTATCCAGATTCAAAACACAGAGGATCCCTCTCTGGGCAAAACCTTAAAGTTACAGAAAACAGGAATAAACCTCCCTCTTAACACAGGGAAAATTCACATAAAACAAAAGAGAAACTAATCCGCCTTCCCTGGTTTACCTATACTGGTTGCAATATTGGAGACTTGGATTAGGATGGGGTGGAGAACATGGATTTCTATCTGGCCTCTCTCAGTCCCAAGAGAGAACAACCATGTAAACAAAGAGCACAAACAAGCCCCCTCCCCCCCCAAGATTTGAAAGTATCTTGTTCCCTTATTGGTCCTTTGGGTCAGGTGCCAGCCAGGTTAGCTGAGCTTCTTAACCCTTTACAGGTAACAGGACGTTGCCTCTGGCCAGGAGGGATTTTATAGCACTGTATACAGAAGGTGTTTACCCTTCCCTTTATATTTATGACAATAGTATTCAAAATCTACTCGGAATTAACAGTAGAAAGTAACCTTATTGTGTCCTGCATTTGAACTCCTTATACCAATAGCATTGAATGCTGTCACTTCTTTCCTTTTCCATGGTAGTAAAAGCTGCACTATTGGGATGGTCCTGCGCCTGTGGAGTGATACCAAGATACATCTTGATGGAGATGGGTACGAAACAAAAACATTTTAATGTCTAGAAGGATGAATTTGAGTGTCAGAGAGCGCAAGAGCCTAATAGCTCAGGTTAGAGCTCAGAGGATATTAGGGTTGATTTATTTTGCCCTGTTAGAGGGCTGTTTTAAGAGTCTCTTTCATTTTTACACTTAAGGAGAATTCAAATTTAGGTTCTTTCACCCAGTCTATTTAATTGATCATTTATTTTTGCTTATTGCTATCCTTGTGCTATCTGATAGAATGTGTTAGATCTTATTAGTGATTTCTTAAAGTAAACAAATATGCAATATTTTAATTAATTGCAGTGCGCTTGGGCAAACTTTTCCCTTCACAGTCTTGTTTGCAAGGACATTAAGAGCTGTGTTAGACAATCAGGTTGCATAAATTCCCATTTCTGATTCTAGTGAACTGTCAATGCCAGCCCACACGTACTGCAATGGCCATGATTTGTTTTGCCTTGCAGCATGGGCGTTACTGTCTTAGCAGGAAAACAGTGGTGGTTTGCTGAATGGAGCATCTAATGCAAAAGGGGGCATTGTATGACTTTTTCTTCTCTCTCTGTTAGTGGATTTAGTGTGAGCACTGCAGGGAAGATGCATATCTTCAAACCAGTTTCTGTACAAGCTATGTGGTATGTATGTTGCTGATTTAGTTTTACTAAAAAAAAAAAAAAGATGATCATTTATGTTAGCTTTTTTTAAAAACAAACAAACCTGCATTTAGCGTTTTACATAGCTGTTATTTAGTACCTTTAGAAAAAAATTCCATTTGTAGAAAGCAGGTTGTCTCAGCAGGTAAATATGCTGAAAGGAGTAATGAGCGTGCTATACCATTTTCCTGATGGGAAATTACATGCTTCTGTTCTAGTATAAGCACTGAGGGAAATTCCATGAATAAGATGATTAAATATGAGAACTGAGTTGAACATGGAATTAATCAGGCTGCAGACCCCATACTGGCTCTCTGTATTTTTGTAACTATCTTAAGAGGGCATCTCAGGAGCTCTTGCCAGTCTCACGGAAATTCCAGTGCTCTTTGTTGCTGCAGTGTTGCCCTGGAGTTCCTGCTGTCTGATAACTTTCCATGAAGCCCAGGGTTTCACTTTGCAGCTTTTGATTATGTTGGCTGAGCTTTTATAATCACACCCACCCGTGTACAGACATCCCAAAACAGCAAAATGGGGATATTTGAATATCGTGAAATCCCTGACTGCTATGACCACAGATTGCCTTTAATGGTGGTGATTTTTAAGGGACTTGTTCTGATATGTAACAAATTGCATATATTTTAGCACATACTTTATGTGGGCTGCACTGAAGTTTATGAAATCTGAGCTCTTGTAACATTTAATAGGGAAATGATGTGGATATGGAAAAAGATGTAATTGTAGGGATTATTTGGTACACAAACAAACAAACCCCTTGTTACTGCCATTTTAAAACTCTGCCCCTCCGGTTAGCAGCTTCAGATGTGGTTAATGTGTTCAGTGTAATAACATCTACAGAACTGAGAGATTTTTTTTAAAGTTAAATGCTATAATTTGCAAAAACAAATTACCCAATCTGGGCTCTGTTCTCGATGTGTGCCAGGGGCTAGGAATGCTGTTAAATGTGCTTTTCGACTCCTTGGTAGAGGTGGTTTGAAGTGTCCACATTCTTACATTTTTTGTCTGAGTTTTTAAGTTAGCTAATGATTAAGACCCAGCAGGACCCAAGTGGTGCATAGTCCTTGTGCTGGTCTCTTGCATGGGGTGAATTTCGTCGTATGTTCAGTTGGTTACCAGATCACAAGAGGGCATCCAAACCATACTGTTTAGAGTTTTGTGACTCCTCTGTCTGAAATCGGAAAAAGCAAACCTTCTGCTGTCAAAAAACCAAACCAAACCAAAGTTGGAACAAAGTTGAAAATAAGTCTCCGCTGAAAATCTCTAGGGCCCTGGCTTCTGTGTGCTCCTACTCCCCATGATGCTCACATTCTCCCCTTCTTTGCTTTTGAAATTTGCAGGTCTGCCCTGCAGATCCTCCACAAAGCTTGTGAGGTCGCACGGAGGTACAATTACTTCCCAGGTGGAATGGCCCTGGTCTGGGCCACATACTATGAAAGCTGCATCAGTTCGGACCAGAGTTGCATCAATGAGTGGAACACGATGCAGGACCTGGAGTCGACACGCCCTGATTCTCCAGCATTGTTTGTTGACAAGTCAGTTCTGAGTTTTATTTTGAATGTCTTCATTCACTTCATAAATCCCACATTTTCCCTTTCATTCTCCAATAGTTTGATCTCCTTTTGGTTCATACATATTTTTGTGAAGTTTTCCTCTGTCATCAGTGTCAGTTTAACTTGAGTCTTTCCCATCCCTTCTCCATGTAAGAGTATCATTATACAGAGAGAGCATCGCTGAGGCCTTCTGCCCCAGTGAAATGCCTGTCTGGATAGTTCCTTTAATTTTCCTTTGCAGGCCAACTGAGGGGGAAAGAACAGAGCGGTTCATTAAAGCCAAACTCCGAAGTATCATGATGAGCAAAGACCTGGAAAATGTGACCTCCAAGGAAGTAAGCAAAACCGACCATTTGCTGGCCTGTGACCACTCGGTTCCTGTTGTTGTCCAGAGTATGGGAGGTAGCACTGGATAAGGGTCAGAGAGGACTGGGAGTCAGGACCCTCAGGATATATATTTCCACTGTGCTTACAAGATTCACTCCATGTCCTGGGATAAGATTTCTGTTCTCTGCCCCTCAGTTTTCCCATCTGTAAAATAGGATATCATCAACCTCACAGTGGGCTTTTAGAGTCCTTACAACAAGTGATTGAAATACTCCGATGGGAGGTCCTATCGGAGCCCAAGGTATAAGGAAACCTGGAAACTGACCCACAATGTACCCTGAGTGTGAACTTGCCTGGAGCTTTGTGCAGTGGTAAAAGCCATACAAATTGGTTGCCAACATTTCTTCTTAGGCTGCCCGGAAAATGCTCAGATTCTTCTGTTTTATTAGAGTTACTCACATGCAGTGTTATAATGTAGAAAGCTGTGGTAGGTTTGGCTTTTAAAGGGAGGGGATAAAGAGGAAAATCTATACACCTTAAAAATGTTCTTACCTTCCAACTTAAAAGTGAGAAACTTTAAAAGATCTAATTCCCTTTTCACAATGATGCTGCTGTTTTTCACTTCTTGTTTCTAGGGGGGTTTGCTTTTGTTTCTTCGGAGCTAGCACAGTGCAGGGTGTTGAGCACTTCAGGGGAATGCTTCATAGTGAAAAATACCAGAACAGTTTTTTGTTCATATTGGGTTTTGCATGAAGCTTTATTTACAAAGCCTGAATCTGGGGCCTCACGTGACCTTTTACTGAGGTTATTTGTCTCTGAAAGCATTTACATACTTCTCTGTGGTCTATAGTCTCTCTCTCTCTCTCTAATGCATGTATGTATAATTTATTGGCACTCTCCTTTTAAAAGTGGACAATCATTCTGCACAGCCCACTATCTAGGTGGTATGCTATCATTTGCTAAGTGGCATACTTTGTCATTTTCTGCCCCACAGATACGAAATGAACTGGAGAAGCAGATGAATTGCAACTTGAAAGAATTCAAGGAATTTATAGACAATGAAATGCTGCTTATCCTGGGGCAGATGGACAAACCATCTCTAATTTTTGATCATCTGTATCTGGTAAGCCACGGAGTCAGAAGCTATGCTGGGTGTGAGGAGGGGGCATCAGTCAAACACTAGCCACCACTGGGCTCCAGGCAAGCTGCACTGGGTATAAAGGCTGCAATGGGGAGAAAAACCAGCAGGTGCCGTAGCCTAATGTTTAGCCTATTATACAAGGAAACTATAGGCCTCCTTTCCTTCCTCTCCCTATGTCACTTCCAAAGGCCCACATCCCAGCAGCTCTTTCTGCTATCTGAGCCTTCATTCTGAACACACAGGGCTGCACTGATGGGCTGGCAAGAGGGACAGGGTGCCTTCCTGATCCTTTCTCTCCCTGTGAGTGAATGTGCTGCATCAGTGGTCCTCTCCTGGCCAGCTCAGCTCAGGAGCAGCACACATCATGGGCCTGGCGTGGTGGAGGGTCCTGTATGTGGTGACGTGCTGTGGGGGGATGTTTGTTTCACCTGGCCTTTGAAGAGAAGTAAAGGAGCTGAGGAGCAGACTGACGTACGGGGGCGCACATAACACATGTAATGTTGGATGAGGACCTGCTTCTAGGCAGGAGGGTGATTTGGCTGAATGACATTTTGCTTTTGTAATTGTAGATAATTGGCAGGGGCTAGAGTCTTAGTATGGGAGCTTCTTATTCTAATGAATAAAAGAAAATAAATAAGAGGTTGCCAGTGGTTGATACAGTACATGGGAAAACAGCCTTCCCCCACGTCCTGAGAACTGCTCTGAGGAAGTGCTTCGTCTTTCCCTTTTCATCATTTATTCCCACTGCTGTGACTTTGCCATGTGCACAATAACCTGTTACCCTGCTTTGGAAGTAAGTAGATTGAATAAAATGGTGTTCCTGCCCTGATGTTTGTGCTCCTGTTTCTTGGGTGCACTGTGAACAGGAAAGGCTGCCTTTTATGGATTTATTTCATATTTCTAGGAATAAAAGGAGTCATTTTTCTTTAAGACGGGATAAGGACCTAGATCATGACACAGTCCAAATGTACCAGTTATGTGCCCTCTATTTTTGCCTTGCTGAATCAAAGGTAATGATAATACACTAAGAGAGTCAAAGTGCCTACCATGTAGATAATCAATGGCTCCATGTCTAGTTGGCAGCCGGTATCTAGCGGAGTGCCCCAAGGGTCGGTCCTGGGGCCGGTTTTGTTCAATATCTTCATAAATGATCTGGAGGATGGTGTGGATTGCACCCTCAGCAAGTTTGCGGATGACACTAAACTGGGAGGAGAGGTAGATACGCTGGAGGGGAGGGATAGGATACAGAGGGACCTAGACAAATTGGAGGATTGGGCCAAAAGAAATCTGATGAGGTTCAACAAGGACAAGTGCAGAGTCCTGCACTTAGGACGGAAGAATCCAATGCACCGCTACAGACTAGGGACCGAATGGCTCGGCAGCAGTTCTGCAGAGAAGGACCTAGGGGTGACAGTGGACGAGAAGCTGGATATGAGTCAACAGTGTGCCCTTGTTGCCAAGAAGGCCAATGGCATTTTGGGGTGTATAAGTAGGGGCATTGCCAGCAGATCGAGGGACGTGATCGTTCCCCTCTATTCTACATTGGTGAGGCCTCATCTGGAGTACTGTGTCCAGTTTTGGGCCCCACACTTCAAGAAGGATGTGGATAAATTGGAGAGAGTCCAGCAAAGGGCAACAAAAATGATTAGGGGACTGGAACACATGACTTATGAGGAGAGGCTGAGGGAACTGGGATTGTTCAGTCTACGGAAGAGAAGAATGAGGGGGGATTTGATAGCTGCTTTTAACTACCTGAAAGGTGGATCCAAAGAGGATGGATCTAGACTATTCTCAGTGATAGCAGATGACAGGACAAGGAGTAATGGTCTCAAGTTGCAGTGCGGGAGATTTAGGTTGGATATTAGGAAAAACTTTTTCACTAGGAGGGTGGTGAAACACAGGAATGCGTTACCTAGGGAGGTGGTGGAATCCCCTTCCTTAGAAGTTTTTAAGATCAGGCTTGACAAAGCCCTGGCTGGGATGATTTAGTTGGGATTGGTCCTGCTCTGGGCAGGGGGTTGGACTAGATGGCCTCCAGAGGTCCCTTCCAACTCTGTTATTCTATGATTCTATGTGGCTGGCTTTATATAAATCATCAGTTTGGAAGGTGATTTGCTTGTTCAGCCTATGAACAGGCTCAGAGCGGGGATGAGTTTCTTGTAATCTCTTGCCACTAGGTGGTACTCCAAACAAAACTGGAAGTTGCCATCCAGAACAAGGATTTAATTGAGACGGGAGCAATTCTGCACTTTGTAGCAGTGTCATCTTTTCCACGATAGACTCAGAGGAAATAGGCCTCTGAGGGTGAATCATATTTTAAAATCCTCTTTGTTCTCCAGGCAATGTGTTGTACATGTACCTCTGCAGTAATTTCTCCCATGGCTTTTAGGGGCCATCTCACCCACTCATCCCCAGAGCCCACACCCCCAGCCAGAGCCCTCATCCCCCACACTCCAACCATCTACCCCAGCCCTGAGCCCCCTCTCACACGCCAAACTCCTCGGCCCCACCCCCACCACATGAACTGTGTTATGTGCACCGATATGCATCGCTTCCATATCGGTGCACATCACAAAATTCATTCCGCACATGGACTTAAAAAATTAGAGGGAACTCTGATAACGACCACTTTATTTTGCAGAATGTCTGATTGGTTTTCCTATGCAATTTATGATCTTGAAAAGAGGGAATGTTCATTTGTGGTGGGTTTTGTGATGTGCTAGGAACCACCCTGAGACTGTCTAACTCACTTCGTGCAAGTAAGCGAGCAGATCCAGTGCTGCTCACTACCAGCTGAGATTGGATCTGAACAGGCAACCTGGAGATGCATCCTTAGTGTCCCACATCCCATCTTCTTTTCCGTTCGGTCCCCTTCATAGGATCGCTCTTTGTGAACTTTCTTGATTGAAATCCTGCTTATTATTACTTTGTAATCTGGGAACGTTCCCACTGTGCTCCTAACACACTGCACGCATGTTGTCCAAACGTGCCATCTCTGTCGTTTTCTTTAAGTAATAGGCCTAACGCTTCCTCAGTTTAGAGGAGGGATGGTTTTGTGGCTAAGGCACAGCTTTGGGACTCAGGAGATCTGGGTTCTTTCCCTGGATCTGTGAAAGCTCCACTCTGTGACCTTGGGCAAGTTACTTAATCTTGTGCTTCAGTTTTAGGGATCTGTAGAATAGGAATAATAATATTCTCTGTCTCTTGCCCTTTGTCTGTCTGGCCTGTTTAGGCCTGTTCAGCCAACAATATGATGTGGTTGCAAAAAAGGCTAATATCGTTCTGGGGCATGTTAACAGGAGTGTCGTATGTAAGACCTGGGAGGTCATTGTCCCGCTCTGCTCAGCCCTGGTGAGGCCTCAGCTGGAGAACTGTGTCCAATTCTGGGCGCCGCACTCTAGGAAACGTGGACAAACTGGAGAGAGTCCAGAGGAGAGCAACAAAAATAATCAAAGGTTTAGAAACCCTGACTTGTGAGGGAAGGTTAAACAAACTGGGCCCGGTTAGTCTTGAGAAAAGAAGACTGTCAGGGAGGGGGGCCTGAGAACAATCTTCAGATATATTAAGGACTGTTGTAAAGAGGAGTGTGATCTGTTGTTCTCCAGGCTAATAGTAATGGGCTTAATCTGCAGCAAGGGAGATTTAGGTTAGATATTAGGAAGAAAATTCTGCCTATAACGGTAGTTAAGCTGCTTCCAAGGGAAGTTGTAGAATCCCCATCGCTGGAGGTTGCTTAGATCAGGTTGGACAGTGCAGCCTGAAATTACCTGAGGTGCAAAGTGCACCGGTCACAGTTAACAGGTTCTTTCCCTTCGTGGCTACGTAAATTATGTAACAGGTGGGATTGATGAATCATGGGAATATGAACATAAAAGTTGTATTTATCATCCAGATAAACCAAAGCATTAATGCTACTGAACAAAAAACAGATACATATAATAAGAAAGTCAGTAGTGCGATCATACTCTCAAACTCTTGGGACCCATGAAAAATACTGCTAGAAGAAGGTAGTCAGTGGAGTACACTGTAAGTGGGAGGTGACAGTACAGTTTACACCAGCCTCTAATCCTGATGTGCCCACCTAGGGTCGGGCACACACTTTTTACTCTTTCCTGTTAAAACCACGTGCTAATATATATTAGCCCAAAAGCTTCCTATGTCATAAGTCAGGTCAAGAGCCATAGCTTAACAAGGAACACCTGTCAGGGATGGTCTAAGTTTATTTGGTCCTGCCTCACCACAGGGGGCTGGACTGGATGACTTCTTGAGGTCCCTTCCAGGCCTCATTTCTATAATTCTATGGTTGTAAGCTGTTCAGGGCAGGGACTCTTTCTAGGTGTATTTTGTTTGGGACCTGTATGTGCTCTGTAATATAAATAATAAACCTCAGCCTGAGCTTCCTAGGGTTTCTTCCTGCAGACTGACCCCTCTCTCTCTCCCCCTACCTTCCTCTTGCCTCAGAGAGACTCTCAACATTTTATACTCTTGGGTTGTAGCTAATAGGACCAGTCTGGCCCGGTTGCTAGGATGAGTCAGCAAAATACCTCTGCATTGTTATACAAGGCCCTAGACCCTCATGTCCTGTTATACTCTTTTCAGAAACCATTGCCTATGTTTTAGTTTAGTGCTCCTGAGAAAATACTGCCCAGATTGCAAAGAGCACAGTGTTTGATCAGTGACTGTACAGTGCCCAGCAGAACCAAGGCTTACTCTGTGTGTGTGTGACTTGTATCCTAGGGGTCTGAGTGGAATGCCTCCAACCTGGAAGAGCTTCAAGGCTCGGGGTGAGTACTGGCCCTTTCCGCTACTTAATGTCGTCTGTTACACGTTAGACTCTTAAATCCTCAAATCACTTGTTTTCAGTTGCGTGTTCGGGTGTCCTGTGAAATGAAATATGATACGTGCAGGCCATACTTCAGTGGATAGGGCACAGGATTGGGACACTTGCCTTCTGTTCTTAGTAGTGACCTTGGACCAGATGGTTCCTCTCTTTCTATCTCAGTTTTCCCACCTGTACAATGGAGATAATATTTGTCCTCATTTGTAAAGTGCCTTGAGATCTAGGGAAGACAAATCCTCTATAGGAGTCTAGTTAATACTGAGCAAGCTTATTGTTGTCTGAGGTGTGAATTCCCAAATACTTCAGAAGATTACGCATTACAGTATTTGGGGTAAAGCTCTTATCCAAATGGTGAAAAACTGCCTGGAGATGAGCAGAGTTGTGTGAATTGTTCTCCATTCCACTAGTGCAGACAGGTGGCTGCAGTCGTGTGTGTCAGTGAACTCTCATCACGACATCACTTCTTGGCTTTATTTGCTTTACGTGTTTTAGGCCAATGGGAATTTTGTGTATAAATACTTGCTGCTTACCCAGGACACATGTCAGCCCCTATAATGAGACTCTGAAAAGTTATTGCTCAACAGCAGGAATAAAGATGTTTAAACGGTAGTCCTTGGGAACAGATGTCTGAACACTTTTGAATAAGTAAAACAACTAGCACATTAATCCTTTGATCTGTAGTGATGGTATCCTTGAAATCTATTTTTAAAAGTCAAAGCTGGACAAATCCTTGAATAAATATCATGTGCTATTGATTTGTCTGAATTATATGAAATAATAACTTAATATGGGCATGCATTCTCTCCCAGTATACGCCAATTGTATTATAAAAATCCTGCTGTTATATGCTGCAGAAGTAGAGTAAAATGATGCAACTTTCATTTCATATTTCTGGTTGGAAGAAGGAAGAAAGGATGAGCTTGTTACGAAAGCACAAGTTTGAGAATCAGGACTCCCGGGTTCTTTTCCTAGCACTGCCGTTGATTCATTGAGAGACTTGGATCAAGTTTCGGCACCTCTCTCTCCCTCAGCTTCCCCATTGGTAGAGTGGGCAAGTCATTTTTCCTCTGTTCTCCATCTTTACATGGGACCATAATAGTAGAGAGAGATGAGCTGGGGGCTCGATTCAGCTAGTCCCTCACATGTAGAACTCCAGCTGATTTAATCGGAAGCGGAGGGCTTAGAGCTGATCTAAGGGCTGCTGATCGTCCCATGCAGTAAGAGCACCCATGTTACACTGGGTTGTGTATGGTTTATCACATGAATTCCAGTTCCCCTTCCAGGGCTGTGATAAGTAAACTCTCTGCCTTTGTTTCCTTTTGCATCCTGCAGCGTCTACTACATTTTAAATGTCACCAGGGAGATCGATAATTTTTTTCCTGGTCTGTTCGCGTATCATAATATCCGGGTGTATGACGAGGAGACGACAGACCTCCTGGCTCACTGGAATGAGGCATATCATTTCATAAATAAAGCCAAGTAAGTGGATGGAGATGAGCGAGTCAGTGCTTGGGGACATCGGAGGCCGGGATAAGAACCTGTCATCGGAATCTGTGGAGTGATGTCGAGTCCTTGCATGACACTGAGGTGCTTCCTCCAGCAGGGGGCGAGGGAGCTCCCTCACCAGTACCGTGGCTATTGTAAGGATAGTGTTGTGCCTCGGCATGCTGCTGAATAGCATTTCAGCAGACGATATGGAACCATTTGCAGAAGCTTTTTGAAACCTGCCTCCCTCTGAATTCCCTGTTTGTCACAGAGCTGTGCTTCCCATTTGAGAAGTGTATTCAATAGGGAAGTAACCACCCTGCTGTCTAGTACTGGAAACTCATTGCTTTCGGAGAAGTCCTGAACAGTGTCCATGCATCTGTTCTGGCTTTGACTCTATCCTCAGCAGCCAGTTCTGCTGGACTCCTTCGTGCTCCCAGCTCGCTGTCCCTAGGTTTGGCACAATAACTCATTCAGTGCCTTTACTGCCATGTCAGTTAAGTAGCTCTACCAAGCCAATTAAGTAGCTGTCCCTTTGCTGCTTAATTGCTGGGCTCTTTGTGAGGCGCTGAAGAGGTTTCTGGGATCCCTGCTCTCGCAAAGGCCTTTGAAAAGGGAGTTCCCTCGGGCCCCTGGAATGCCCAAATACCACATCTGTTCCCGTCAGTGGTTAATCATTAACCCCTTCACAACCAGTCACAATCGTGCTGAGATTTTATCTTCGGCGCCTTGTTCAACTTGCTTTTTTGTTTCCCTTTTTAAAAACAGAATGTTTGTTTGTTTCCAGTAATGAAGCTACATTCTGTTTGTGTTTGCACCTAACGCCCTAAAAGATTCAAGAGCCCCTAAGGGTCCTTCTGATGAAGTAAAACATTTTGAAATCCTTGAATTTTGTCTGTGATAGAATAAGCAGAGCAATGGCTCCCAGCTACAGTTAGTGACATGAACCACTCACATTCTGCTGAGGTTTCAGCGTGTGGCTTGTAACTTGATGGGCTTTTCTTCATTCGGATCTGCATGGGGTAGCTGGACAGTGACACCTGGTTAATTTGGCGTCTTTCATTAATCGGCCAAATCCTGCCCTAAGTAAGGACCAAATCATTAGGGTTGCAGGGGTGTAACTAGCGATTGAATTTGATTTTGTCCATCAGCCACATTGCCAGGATTAATAATGGGCTCAAAAAGTAAGGAACTGCATCTGAAGCTGTGGAGGTCCCATCCCTGACAGATTGTGGCACAATTCTGTCAGGTGATGTAATAGGCGTTGAGGTTCATAAATACATAGCAGGAGACATTTATTCCCATGTGTGATCCATCATTCAGTTGCCTTGCCTCCACCTTTGAAGATGGGGACCTGGCATAAGGGCCTTCTTGCCAGGCCCCGCTGGGCCTCCAACCCTGTTACTTGCTCTTCGGATTGCACCAACCTCTCTGAGGAAGTCTCTTTATTTGTCAGACTTCTTGCTCTGTGATTTTCATTCAGTCACTCCACCCTCCAGGGCACAGGTGATACAGAAGCCCTAATGTGCAGTGAACAGTGCAGGGGGGTTTGGTAGGGAACCCACCACGCCTGTTCGGTCCACATCTCCAAAGACAGGGACATGCAGATAAAGGGAGCTTTGGATAGTATCTGAAATAGCAGTGTGGTTGGCGTGAGAGGAGAGTGGTTAGGGGGTGTCACACTTCTCCAAATTCTAACTTTCCTTGAGAGTTTATTTTCTTGGACCATTTAACCCAAACCAATTCACTCCCTCTGAGCTGTGACGTTGGCTCGGTAAGGTGAACAAATGACCATCCATGCACCATATAAACCTGTGATAGTAAAACTTAATAAACAAAAGGATTTGAGATATAGTTTTTCTTATTTTTTGCCTTCCTCTCTAGGAAAAATCACTCTAAGTGTCTGGTACACTGCAAAATGGGTGTTAGCCGGTCTGCCTCTACAGTTATAGCTTATGCAATGAAGGAATTTGGCTGGTCTTTGGAAAAAGCCTATAATTACGTGAAGCAAAAACGCAGCATTGCAAGACCAAATGCAGGCTTCATGAAACAGCTGCTGGAATATGAAGGGATTTTAGATGCAAGGTAAGGTGATGGGTGGAATGAGAAGGTGACTTGCAAGGAAACGAAAAGAGCCTGTTGCAGAGTAGGATGTCTCACAAAGCAGGATTAGCAATTTGCAGTTGTGTGTACGCGCATGTGGGGCCTATGCTGGGCAAATAAGTTAAAAATTATCAGAGTTGCTTGGAAAGGGGGGGCACAATTTTGTGAAAAACGGGAAGAGAAGGCAGTTTTTGGTCAATGTTTTAGTAGCTGTTTCAGGCGCGGTTTGCAGCTAGGGCTGCTACAGGAAGCGGTCTGGCGCAGCTGCTGCCATGGAACAAACACATCGAGGTGCCACTGTGCTACTGTTGCTACAAGGCTTAAATGGTGATCTGTTGGCTCTTCTGTCCACTCAAGGAGCACAATGACTGAGTAAGGGGTATTGGGCCCAGCGAGCTCATTGGGTGGCTGGGCTCCCATGCCTGGAGCTGACTGAGTTCCTGAGGCTGCATAGACATACATAGGACAAAGTCCTGAAGTTGAGGAAGTCTTTCTGAGCGAGAACAACTGGATTCGGCCCTTAGTTGGTTGTTGCTGAGCATCTTGTTTAAGTTATACTCGAGTGACTCTGGTACATGTTTTGTGTGCACTTGATCCGGATGCTTTCAGCTGCTGCATAATTTCTGGGGGACTTTGTTTCTGTTTCTTCATTATGTGCATATCGCCTTCATTTCCATCACAGCTAACTGCGGATGTGATCAATGCCATTTAAATCACAGTTACCTGATTCTTGAGGACTTTGGTTGCTGTTGTTTTTCTTCCCTTGAATCTTACGTAATGACCCAGCCATTTGTTCCCTTGTTTAGACCAGAGCCTGACTGCTTCGTACATCCTGCTCCTCTGCCCTGTGTTGCCACTGTCCTCTGTAGTGGGTGATCTGCTGGGATTGCATGTTTCCTCCAAAGGTTTCTGAGGGGCGTGACTTGTATGGGGCAGGGCACTGTGATGCATTTACATACAACAGCTGCTGAGTGTTTGATTGTAGTAATTTGTGCCTTTTATTTTTCTCCCCAGCAAACAGCGTCATAACAAGCTGTGGAAGCAGCAAGCAGAGAGCAATCTACCCCAGAATGCAGATGATTCTACGGGGCCCAGTGACTTCCTGCTCGATAGCTTAGACATCGATCTAGAAAACCGCCTATCTGACCTGGACGCACCTTCACAGTCCACGTACTTGGACAACAGAGCCAATATGGAGGCCGGGGGGTTTCACTACTGCTTCCGACGCCTGTCTGACTCGTTGCTGGAGAACAAGCTGCCTGGTGACAGGGAAATATTTTTCCAGGTGGAGGATCTGGAGCGAGACGTACTTTCGGAGCAGGCCAATTTGCTGGTGGATCAGCCTCCCCCAATCCCTCCTGAGGCTGTGGCAGAGACAATGAAGGCTAAGGACAAAGTGGAACCATTGGCAGAGCTGAGAAGTTTCTGCGAGAAGGAAGTGAAGAAGTTGGAGTCCAGCATGCCAAAGGGGAGGAGTGTGCCCAGCCAGGCGGATCTGGGAAAGGAAAGCATCAGGGAGGAAAATCCCGTGGAGAGGTGGAAGCGGCGCTTGTCTGTGCACAAGGAGGAGAACTTACTGAACAGAGAGAACTTGAATAACAACAACAGCAAGAGGAGCTGCCCAGAGGAGTTCGAGGTGCGTATGGGCTTAAACGTAGATGATTAGTAACACCCGACACCGTGTGCATGAGACAACTCTCCACGTCCTAAGAGTATGATGTAATTTGGTTTGGAAGTGAAGGCTCCTGTAGTAGCGCCTGTCTCCATGCTGAGCCTTTCCTTGTAGAAGTGCTTCTGAACATCGCTTTGCTTGTGTGGAGCCAGCCACCAAAGAGAGCATGCAGCTACGTGAACATGCTATAAACCTCTCAGGGGAGCCGCCTTTCATGACCATCACTTGAAATGGTTGGTTTCCTCCAACACTGTCAGCTGGGAATCCTCGTGGCTTGACTCCCACTGCTGAGCCCAGACTTCAGCAGTAATGGAGAGGGGCTTCCTTTAAAGTCCCTTGGAGTCCTTATAAATAAAATGTTTCCTATTGTTCTGTGTCTTCCCTTTCAATCTGCAAATTTGTCTTGTTTTAAACTAACCTGACTCTGCTATTCTGCATCCACACTAAATTGTTTGTCTGACTTCTTATTGCCTATTCTTTCCTTTTATAGCGCGATGCCATATTTGGAATCCTCAGTAAGGTCAAGCCTTCCTACCAGTCATGCACTGACTGCATGTATTCCTCAGCCAGTGCATCCGCTGAAGCCTCTGGAGAGCAGTGTGAAACGCTGAATCCAGCTGCCGCATGCTGCAGTTCTACAATCTGCACTCAGCCTTCGCTCCTCTCCCATGTGACTTCTAACTTGTTGGACCAAATGCCTAGCAAGTCGCAGGCTGAGGAAGTAATCAGGGCTAAAAATGATGTCTTGCCTCCATTGCTGCAGGGAACTAGTGTTTTGGAAGGTGGCACCTGCAAATCCGTGGTGGATCAGCATTGCAATATTTCTGAAAAGCCAAAAGATGCACCAAAAACATCTGTCAAAGCACTGCTTGCCAGGAGAAATTCCCACTGTGAGAAGAGCCCTCTGAATACAGAAGTGATGAAGGAAGAGTCTCCATCCAGAAAAGATGTCAAACCAACGAAGGACCTGAAGTACTTGCTGTTTAGTAAAGATCTGGAAAAGCCAACCACAAACAGTTATTTGATGCAGCATCAAGAATCTCTTATTCAGCTTCAAAAAGCTGGTTTAGTTAGGAAGCATACCAAAGAACTGGAGCGTCTGAAGAGTGTGCCATCAGAATCCTCGTCACTGGTAAGAGAGAGCTCCCTGAGCAGAATTGATGCTAGTATACCAGAGGAAAACCAAGATTTGGCTTTGCACCGAGGCCCAGTATCTCTTCTGGGTCCAGCACCTTTAATATCCAGAGAGAATGATGTGGAGAAGTTAGAGGCCAAAAACCCCTTACAGGGACTCTCTCAGAAAACCTCCACACCTGTCCTGTGCAGGCTAGAACACATGAGCAGTTACACAAAGGACTTTCTGAAGACCATATGCTATACGCCATCATCTTCCAGGAGTTCCAACTTGACACGCAGTTCTAGTAGCGACAGCATACACAGTGTGCATGGGAAACCCGGCCTGGTAAAACAACGTACTCAGGAAATCGAAACCAGGCTACGACTTGCTGGTTTGACTGTTTCTTCCCCTCTGAAAAGATCCAATTCTCTTGCCAAGCTAGGGTGTCTTAACTTGTCCTCCGAGGACTTATCGAGTGACATGGACGTGTCAACAGTAATGAACTCAAAAGAGGCCAAATTGAGTGAGTCTTCCATGCTTTGTGAGTCACAATCCTCTCTGAGGAGTGTGGACGTAAGCTCCAAACTGCTAGCAAATTCAGCCACAGGAAACTTGAAGAGCACACTTTGGAAGGGCAAAAGTTGACACGTTCTGGTGTATGTGTTGTTTTTTTAAAATCAGCATTTATTGCCTGAACCCAATGCCATTTTATCATCTGAAACAAAATAGTTCAGCTGATGCCACGTCTTTACCCCCTTCCTTGTGCAGTAAGTGGGGAGAAAGAGGGACATAACTGACATGGGTGAATAGCACAGTGAAAAAAAACATTGCATGGCTTGGAAGAGGACGTGGTGTGTGAACTGCCTACTGTTCCTATAGGACAATATTCCCAGTACTGTTTGCCAAGTATAGTTGTGTTAACATATATATAATGTAAAAAAATGCTGAAAATATTGTTTCAAAGTCTCAACAAAAGTCATGGCATTTTAAATTTTTTTTTATTTTGCAAAACAAACATAGCACAAGTCTCTAGTTTAAACAGCCACTTGTGGAAAAACCTGTAGATGGCAACATAAACTCTACCTCTGTTCTTGCTGATTTCTGTGTTGATTTTTTTAAGGCTTATTCCAGGATATTTAAAGTTTTTTGAAAAGCATTCCTATGACATCAACTGTAAAGATCCAAAAGAGTGTTGAGGTGTAGGCTTTACTGTACTGAGTAACTCTAACTATGAAGTCAAGTGAAAAAGTGTAGAGCTGTTGTTTTATTGACTGCGTGATCTGCTGACCCGATAGTTCCTCTTTACTGTATAATCAGGGTTAGCTGTCACAGTGTCTTGTGTTAATAACAGAATGACATCTAGGTTGTGTGTTTTCAAGGTTTCTGTTAAAGTGGAGAAATATCTTGTTCTTCAGGTATTGTTGCTCTTGTTGTGGTTTTATAGTTATCCCAGTAATAATGACAAGCCTGGCCAGTAGGTGACCATGAACCATTGTGAAATGTGTGTGATGCTGGAGTCAGTGGTGTAGCACTTGTGTTTTGGAAGCCCTGCTTTATCAGACTGTTGATGGCATGCATTGCAGATGAAAAGACGACTGACCTGTCTCATCCTACAGAGGGCAGGCTTTATTGTCATTCTGTACGTTTGAAACCTGGGGAGATAAGTTAGTTTATTTGGTAGAACATTTCTTGCATCCTGGAGTTTGCAGCAGAAATGCAAAGCAGCAGCAGGTTATCTCAGGAAGGTGTATGGTTGTCACTGAGCTCTGAAGCTTTTTAGAAGTTCCCACATTGAGTAACATCCAAAGGGTTTATTTTTTCATCATCCGGAAGCAGTGCGGGAGGATGAGTATTCCTGCTCTTGTTCGTTTATAGTACATATTGTCTGGGATGCACAGGTTAATTTCAGTGATGGTCTCCTCCTGATGACAACAGAAGTGCAAATTCTGCTCTCGGGTGAACGTGTGGTGCTCCCCTGGGCTTCCCTGATCTTACACACTCATCCAAGGGCAGAGTTTGGGGCCAGTGCAAGGAGGAGGCAGTAGTTTCACTAGCCTAGCCTAAATGGAATATTGCAATATCTCAGAAAGGAAGGAAAAGTGGAGAGCTAGGTTAGTTTCCATAGTGTTAAACAATCATTAAGTCTTCTACATGGTACTGCTAGCTAGATTTCTGATATGGTAAGGCATTTAGGGCTCAGTCCTATACCCTCTGAAGTCAGTGGCTTCAGTTGTGCAGGATTACCTCTTAGAGCAGCGCCATTGGCTGTATAGGCCGTTCTTTTTTCATCAGCTGCTTGGTACTAGTTTCTGTTGGAGGTTTATGGCCAACTCAGAAACACTCCATTTCCACTTAGTTCTCATTCAGGCAATGGGGGGGGCTGTATAATCTTGGGCACAGACCTCAGGATTCAGCCCTTGATGATGAAACAGAATTCAAGTAAAAATGGGGATGATCAAAATGAGTGAGTGAGATTATAAGAAATCTGTTTGAGCCACTTCCAGAGATAGGCCGGTTGGACACACAGATAACCCAGGTTAGCCCTAAAATGCTGTCCCTCAACAAAGGAGCACTCCCAGCATCATGGTAACCAGCCCCATATTCATTTGTGGGTCGTTGTCGTCACACCCAGTGACCGTTTATTACAGAACGATTTCAGATAAACACTGTTGTACCATTGACTTCCCGCCCCTGCCAGGTGCAACGTGCCTCAAAGGAGGCCCTTTGCCTCTAGGGTGTGTAACACATTGTGGTAGAATGCATTTGCCAGCCTGGTAGAAAAAACACATTTAAAAAAACCTCCAAAACTCTGGGAGATACATTTTTGCCAAATTTAGGATATAATTTTCAAAAGTGCCTCAGTCACTGAGGAGTCTGAGTCCCATTGCGTATCAGTTGGATTTAGATTTAAGTGACTTAAGCGCTTTTAAAAATGGGACTTAGGCTCCTAAATTTTCAAAAATGCCTGAATTCCATGTGTTAGACTAACTTTGGTGTCACAGTGAAATTTAAAGTGTGGTGACAACAAACTATGGATTTGTTGTGGTCCGTGGTTTTAACAACCAGGTCCATGTGAGTCTGAGCTGTTTTTTTAAAAATCTGCGTTTGCAGAGCCGTTGCTGGATAAAGTCTTTCAGATGGGGATGGAAAGTGAAGAGTGCAACTTTGAACAGCAGATCCTACAACCTGCCATTTAAAATGTTTGAGTACCCATTTGGGAAGTGTCCCTTGGTTTCCACTGTTTAGAATACCAAGGATTCCTTTTTTTTTTTTTTTTTTTCAGTAACTCCCCCAATTTTGTACTAAAAACAGGAGAAATATGGGCTGGGAAGCAGTAGATAAATATTTATCTTTTGATAGAGGGGTCAAAAATATATATACATCTTGAGCATATGGCAAATTTGCCATTTCATGTGTGAAAGAAGCAAAAGCTTCTTAAGCAAGGCACACAATGGCAATATCTCGGAGGACGTGAAATATTTTGTAATCCACGTTTTCTAGTGTCGGGAAACTGATGTCATTGTTAGAGTTGGACCTTCCCTTAGCTGCAATGTTTGTGTTATTGTCTGGCTATAAACCTTCAGAAGTGGATTTAGCATGGACACTTCCTTTGATGCTGTGATTGTCGTTGGTTCTTGGTGTGGTTCTTTTCACTGAACCCACCCTTTTGTGCATCTTGGAAATCAATACTGACTAGATCACTTCAATACACTGTGAATTCACTGACGCATGCCCCCCTTCCCTCCCCAGTTGTGACATTTCAGTTTCGCTGTATCTGGGGTGTGGTGGTATATCTAAAATATTAATGTTGTTATTATGTGCCTAATGTCAAAGCATCATGGGTGCGTTTCCAGGTCCATATCTACTGTAGTGTATTCCATATATTTTTATTACTTGTCTTTTAGTTGTTCTTACTTAGGTTTTATTTGTAAAAGATGGATTGGGAAGGAGGGGTGGTTGTGAGCATGGCTAAAGCCATAGCACTGTGCTTGATTATTGCATGGCGGCAAAGGGTTTCTTCAGAGCCTATTAGCCCATGCTGAAATTATCAGCTAAGGTATTTTTGAAAGCTGTTAATCTGTTCACCAACTCCATCCAAACCACAACATTGTGCTAAAGCCAGTTGCACAGTTGTTTGGATTCTTCCTGTCTGCAAATTTGTGCACCTGTTCACACTGACAGTCTTCTTTCCCGAGGAGAGGCCCTTTCCCATCTGACACAGTTGGACAAAGACTGCCCTTATTTACACCCATGCTGTTCCATTGAAGCTGGATCTGCAAGGCAGAATTTGACCTAGTTATTTTATTTAATTTCTATTTTCCCGTGGATTTTTGCTAGCCCTCTTTATCCAGATAACCCTAAAGGATCCCTAATAGTGTCACTGTAGGATAAAGCAGATAGTTAACTCCTCATGGCTAGGACTCCACAGTGTTATTAAGCAAGATCTTGTGCTTCTCTTGTGGAGAGATGGTCACTTAGGTCCAAATTTTGCATGCAAAAAGAAGTGAGTGTGGTGATATTTGTAATTCTCCCAGTTGTGTGTGCAGATCACACATGTGTGCATACAACACATGGGCTAGGTTAGACGAGGATTGTTAAAAGTGCTGATCTCTGGTCTAATTGCTCCCACTGAAGTCAATGGGAGTCTTAACTGTTGATTTCAATGGGCGTAGAGGCAGGCCAATGATGAGTGCTTCTGAAAATCCCCTGTGTAATTGCCTGTTTCCAAGAATGGCAGGAGTGACACACACAGATGTGGCCATTTGTTTCTGCAGGTTGTTTTGCACCTGTGAATTGGCTGCTGCCTTGTGAAGATGCCTTAACACCTACTGTTCCCATCCCCACTGCCAGTGAGCTGTAATTCCATCTATTTTCTTGGGGTGGGGACATGCACTTTTCACAGCACTAACTGCCAGTAGGGAACCAACCCCAGGCAGTAAGACACTGCAGTATATTAATACACATTGCCTTTGTTCACAAGGTCATTGCCACGTATGCCCAATTTGACATTTGTTGGCCAACCCATTGTAGCTTGTACTAAGAGAGAAGCTTAATAGGTGCTTAGACTTGAAGAACTTCTGAAAATGTCCAAGTTGTTTTAACAATACAAGTGAACAAACCTATTTCCTTCCTGTTTTCTTCTTCTATGACCTGCCAAACTCTGCTACATACAAACTACTGCTGTGGTAGTTTAGTTTTCAGTTGACTACAATGCCCATATTGTGATTGGAAAAAAAAAATCACACAGACTCCGTTATTTTGTGGAACATAACTGTGTCACCACACACATAATGTAGCTTATCAAACTTGAAGATCCATTGCTGCTTAGTGCAACACAATACTGTTGATACATGTAGTTTATTTTTAATTTTTTTTAAGTCAATATATGCGTAGAGGCTATAGCATGCCAATTCAAAGATTTTGTAGCCAAAAAATGCAGTGCTTGCAGGGTTGTTAGTCTCGATGCATGAAAATATAGTTGTTTTCTTTCTCTCCTATGTATTGTAATTGTTCTTTTACAATTGAGTGCCTTAATAATAGTTTACAAATACTGTGTATTTATGCTGAGCTGGTAAACGCTGCTGTTTTGCTGTTTTGTCTTGGTGCTTTGATGTTTCAGTGTAAGTAAGACCATTACTATTTGCGTGTATGATTCCTGTATAACTCTGATGGTCCCTGATCTCAGAACTGCTAATCAGTTTTCCTTTGTTATGTGTATGGGTAAAACGATGGGCTTTGTAAATGGATCCCACATAAATTCCAGCTTCCGTTGCCCTGGCCTCATCGCTTATGATTTATCTCTGCATTGCTGCAGACAGTGCAGGCAAGGGAGGGCTTGACAAGACATTCCAAAGATGGAAGGCCATCGTTACACTTGGAAGAGTTACAGGCATGATCTAAGCCAAGGAACACTCCAACATCAAATCTGAAATGCACAGACTGGCACCTTATTTCCAGCGTATGCTTTTTTTGTTCCTTGTTTTAGAAATAGCACCGTTTTGGTCATCATTTCTCAGTGTGTTCTTTAACTAAATAATATGCCCCTTCATGTCACAGACTTTGGTCTGCTCTCCTTGCCTGAGACTTGACCTAGGGCCCATGAATAGTTACCACCCTTGTTAGATAAGCTGCGGACATGAATGAATGGGTGAATAACCAGTCGCTGTTTCAGTGCATTGCTGTACTCTTATGATAACAGTGTTCTTTTTATTTCATTGTATTTCTTGATTCTGGTTTTTATATTTAAATATGCAGTATCTTTTGTACTGTACATTTGCAGTAGGGGATGCATAATGCACTTTTTTTTTTTTTTTTTACTTTTGTTGGTAAAAGTGTACTGTATGTTACATGTGCTTCTTGTGAGGAAAATAAACATTTTTTTCTTTACAAGTGAGGTTTCCACTATCTCTTGAGTAACGTCCATACGCATAGTCAGCTTGTGATCAGCATTTCAAAGCAGATGACTGGCCAGTGCAAGCCTCCGAACGTTGTGTACAGTATATTACAGGGGAGTCAATGTCAGTAAACAGCTGTCGCTGAGAAGGGGGTACTGACCTATAGGGCTTTGCGGCTGACCTATAGGGCCAGACTCGGTGATGATGAATGTGGGGATGTATGTCACAAGCCAGATTCTTATGTAAGTGGCCACCACTGCATTGCCAGCCCACCAAAGCCTGTGGAGTGGCGTTGGTGAAACTGAGATCAGAATCTGACCCCAGGAGTAAATGGGCATGAACAGTCAGGGAGGGTAACTAGCACCAATCTCTCTGGTATTCGGTAAGGGTGCAAATGCATGAAATGTTTTGTGTCAAGTGATAGGAGTGGTGTGGGAAGCAGGAAAGAGGAAAAAGGAACCAGCAGGTGGTGGTGAGATCAAGCAGCTTCCCTCTCTCCCCTCACAAGTTTTATCTCCTCCACGCCTCCTTTTTGTTACATGCCCTCTTTCTCCCTCCACTGTGTAAGCCAGGCTTGTGTTGTACAATCACCGAGATCAGACTGGAGCGTGCTTACACCCCTTTCCACCTGCAGCTGTTGTCACAGTACCACTGCTGAGTGAACTGTGCCTATTTGGCCCCAGTAAGATCTTGTTACACCAGTGACTTGCTTTCTTCCTGAAACACCTGACCCAGGGAGTGCAGAGTCCAGGGGTAATGAGGAAGGAGATACAAAAATGGGGACTGGGTTAGAGAGGCAGCAGACCCCAGAGATCCAAAAGAATTTGGTCCTTGAGATGACCTAGAAACGCTGAGGTAACTGATTCATGCTGCAGCTTCTCCAAGCTCATGGTGCAGTTTCGCTAGCATTCTTCACTGTGAAGAGATTTTAGCATCAGCATTTGACTCTCATCTCCCAGTGACTTTGCTGTCTTTTAACTTTGAGAATGTTTACCCCTTTGTTTGCTGGGTTTATTTAATCCCATTTACTTAATTTTTGGAAATAAAGTCTGAATATGGGCTGCAAGTCTTTTTTAGTTTCTTTTGGGGGGGAGGGGGCTGTTTGAAATAAAAATAGAAATCCATTTAATGGAGGAGGAACAGGAATTAAATATACAATGCCAGTAGATTTTTTTAAGAGACTGGAGTTTGGCTTTAAGGAAACTCTTTCAGACTCTGAGCATCTCAAAGCATCTTTCCCAGTAATGAGTCAAATGCCAATAGCATGGTGTCTGTGCAGGCAAATGCAGCAGCTATTACATGCGAAGCAATATTTTGTCCACAGCACAGGAGAATTTATTTTATTTGAGAGGATACATGGCATTATCTGACAGTGCCATGGGTTCTTTAACTTCCAGCAGATGTAGTGAGTGGAAACCTGCGTTTTAATGTCTCCTTCAAAGAACAAATAGCTAGCATTAAAGCAGATTAATTGTAAGTTACAAGATGTAACTGGGAAAATGAAGCCTTTTTATGATGAGTCAACTCTGCTCCAGACCAAAGTTCCATAGGACGTAGGATCAGCCCTTCCAGTGTATTCACCAAATTTTGCCTTTAAAGGCAAACAGCGAGCATCTGTCTCTTGTGCCTTTAAGGAGTCTTGTTACTGCCTGGAATTGTTCTTGCTCTCTAAGCTGCTTCAGGGAAGAAAATGTCAGTGTTTACCTTGGCAGAGTAACAAAGCACAGGCTGAGGATGTTCTTCAGCTTTGGCATACTTGCTAATTGTCTGGGAGAAAGTCGTTAACCCCAAGAAGTATTGTTTTAAAATTACATTTCAAAAATTGATTCAGCTCCGATTTGACAGGAGATTGGCATCTGTCATTTAACCATTGGTCAGGAAGAACATGGGCAGTGCCAGCCCAGGCCTGAACCCCATATTACACTGCCAGTTGGTTTCACTGATCTCTGGGAGAGCTTCAGAGAGGAGCTCGTCTCCATAACCCATTGGGTCCTTCAGCAGAGGCTGCCATGCAAGCCCCAGTTAGTGCTAAAATGCTGTGAGGCTGCTGGGAAATAATTGACACTTCCACACGTATTTTAATCTCTTGCCAACATTAATTTGCCAACTTCTCAAAATACTAAGTGTGAAAAGTGTAGGCCGGGAAGTCATTGAAATGAGTCAGGTATCCAACACCTTTAAGCCTCTCTGGAGTGTGGTGTCATGTGAGCTATGGTTTGGTCCAAATATTAACACACACAGCTATTCTCTGCAGAGAGATTAGGGACAGAAGGGGATGCAGGGAATATTTCAAACCTGTTCTCACTTTATGGGTTTATAAAGTATCATCCTGGAACCACAGCTCTTCGTACAGCCCCATGGATTTGGCTTCTTTGTTTAGCCAAATGGCATGCTTTTGAACTATGCTAGTGACCTTATAGAAAGTCATTTGTGGGGGAAAGATGAGCCCATGGAGAGGAATTCACCACCTGGGTGAGCAGTGCCTGTATGGAAAGGTAGCATAGCCAAGCCCTGGAATCTGTAGAAAGAACTGTGGCCAGTTCTTGGGAGCCTGGAGGAGAGACAGAGTTTACAAGTTGTGCGTGAGTGAGAGAGAGTGCTATGGATTTTTATTACACTTCTCGGGGTGAGACTGTGTGTTCATTTTGCTTAAGAATTGTCCCCCTGTTCTTCCCCATTCTCTCTTTCACCACCGTGCCTGACAGAATTGTCAGTCCTTGTAGGTTTCATGCTGATTACAACCCTAGTACCACATTCCATTCTCACTAAAGCCTGCATCAATCTAGACTGGCTCCATTGACTTTGGTGGCATTACTTCAGATTTACACTGATGTAAATGAAAAGGGAATTTGGCCTTGGATCATTTGACACCAGTCCCAGGCCCCTACAGCCTAGTATAGTTTCAGTTTAAATGGAGGAGGAAGAAAGTCCGCTTTTGGTTATAACTGGGCAGTGAAGAAAACAATGCCTCAAAAGCTGAGCCCTTCCCAGGGATGTTTTAACAAGAGGTGGGAGCTCTCTGTCAATTAAACAGGACTAAAGGCAGCTCTCCACGTGAATGAGCCCCAGCACTGGTGTCATTATGAGCTAAATTCTGCTCTCAGTCAGCAAATGAAGATGGCTCCAAAGTGGGCCACTGAACTTACCCAAGACATTGCTGAAGGGTTGTGCAAAGGTGGGCATCTAGGCAATGTGTACCCCACAAATAACTCCTAGTTCAATTGTGGTCTGATATGGACTGTATTTAAACAGGGATAGGACACATTTCAGGATGCTATCAAGACTGATGGCCCATAAAACTGGGTCACCTTTTGAGAATTATACCATGTGTGGATCCTTATTTTCAGCTGCCCTTTGTATAATTTTTTCTTACCAGTCAATTGTTCCTAGTTAGGTAGTGACATAAGATCAAGGAATGCACTGAACACATCTTTTCTTGGATCTGCAATAGCTCTGCTACCACATATGTGACCAGCCAGTTGTTGGTTACCCATAGCCACTCTATGCATATGCAGGTAATGAGGACAATAATTCAGACTCTTGGTGCCTCATCCTTAGTCAGTGTTATGAAAGGAGAGGAAAATATTCAGTCTTGGAGAAGGCCATATGGCATGCTCGGAGAGCAGCCACTGAGGTAAATTCCCATTCTTGTCTGAATGTGCCAGTTTAAGGTCAAATGTCTTAGAGCTGATGGGAAATGACTGCCTAGGCCAGATTGAGGATCTCTGAATCTGCAATAATGAAAAGTGTATTTGAATTTGTCATTCAGACTATCCAAATCTCAGTTATGCTCAGAACAGTCTCCAGAGAGCTGGTTTCAAAATGCAGGGTGGCACCAATTTATTAATTTTGTATTCTGAACTGTTGATATCCACACCTACCCTTGTGAAACTTGTGTTCCTTTTATGGCTGGTTCCTTTTCCTATTTGTTGCTTTTGAAACTCTTTGCACAGGGCCCCGTGGTTGCTTCTTGATATTTGTCTGAATTGTGCTCACCCCAGATTACTGGGGAAACACAAGGAAAAGGTACACACATGAAGGCACTGTGATTGCTGTAGAATTAAACAGAGCAGAAATTGGCTGCTTTCATATTTAGCAATGGGGAAACATACACCACCCAGGAAAACATCTTGATTTGAAATTCTCTAATGATCCAAGCCTTTTATTTATTTTAGATGTTTGAATTAAATTAGATAATCTTTCTGTCTTTGTGGGTGGTTGAATGGCTCATGACTAGTAACAAAACATGAAGACTGTCCTGTCTAGGTCATGGATTTGATCCCGGCCCAGGTCAATGGGGGCTGAAAGTCACTGCCACATGACAGCTGCTCAGCAGCTTATGTGAAAAGACTTGGTGGTCTCAGGTCAGTTCCTAGTGGCCATGTCTGCATCACAAGAACTACTATCACAACCTGCACAGAGCATGGGTGTGGTGGTGAGACTACTTTGTTGGTCCAAACTGCAGCAGAGCAGAGCGGGCGACCTGGCTCTATCAGCATTTGCTGCTGACTTGACGGACTAAATGAAATTGCAGTACAAACAGAATTAGAGCTAGAGCCCTGCCAGGAAGACCTGAGTGGAAATTCCTGCAGCCATGAAAACAGGGCCTTCAGAGACTAACTGTTTTCTCATAAACATTCGGCTCACAGAAAGAGAGAGCCATGGAATAGCTAGATGAAAAATGAGGGTTTAATGCCGAGCAGGGAACACCTCGTAATGAAAATCTGAGAAGGCAATTGTCACAGGCTGGCTGGCCCTTTAAGGAGAGTAGGGCTTAGCTGGGCCTGGGATGAGCAGCACCACCACCCTGCCCCCTGAACTTATCTTGATGGCCTGGGGATCAGGTGGCTCATAAAGGGCTGGGGAGGGGAGCTGCAGGAGGGTGGTTGTTTCCTGGGCCTGGCCATGAATAGAGTGAGCGGCAGGGGAGAAGGAGGCTGCTGGGGCAGGCCTGGGAACAGTCCACCTCCCCAGGCAGATGGGCTTAGTGGCAGA